TTAGTGCAGGCCGCGAACTACTATGACACTCACAAATCCCCCACACACGCATCTGTGTGTGTGGTTACTGTAGGGGAGCGGTGGTGTAGCGGTTAGCGCTGCGCTACGAACCTGACGAGCTGAGTTCAATACCCGCTCACGGCCAACCACCGGTGACGGTTATCTGAACCGGTCCTGGGCCTCCCCTAGGTCGATTCAACCTCAAATGAGTACCTGGTGTGTAAACATCACCACTGGGGATACAAAGGTGGTCAGGCGTGGTGCTGTCCACCCCCACCCCCTTGTGTGCCGTGCCAGCCTCCATAGGCGCTCGCTAACAGCACTTCCCCGAACAGTCTTTTAAGGCTATATGGGAGTTCTTTGTCGTTGTAGTTACTGTACACTTTTATACACAGTTTACAACACCCACATATTTGTGAACGTGTGTTTAGAACACGTGTGTGTACACGTGGGAAATGTGTCAGCGTGAGATTGTATATGTGTATGTTTGAGACCGTGTGTGTGGGGAGCGATAGTGCAGCGAGTTAGAGGCACTGTGCTACGAACTCGGGAACCCGAGTTCAATTCCCACTCACGGCCAACACCGATGATGATTATCTGAACTGGTCCGAGGCCTCCCCAAGCTCGACTCAGCCTCAAATGAGTACCTGGTGTGGTGTGTAAACATCGCCAATGGGGAGACAAAGGTGGCCAGGCGTGGTGCTGGCCATCCACCCCCTCTGCTCTTGCCCCATCAGTCTGTTAAAGGCTACAAGGGGGATCTTTGTTGTGTAGTTAGGCAAGTAGTGTCAGGGTGAAAGAGGATGTGTGCGAGTGTGTGATCATTTCGTCAGCGTACTTCACAATACTGGCCTAAAAACACGAAGTTATATGTTTATAGATTGATTCCGTGTGAGAGTCGTCTGTGTGCGCGCGAGTACGTATGTCTAGGGAGAGTTAGTGTAGTGGGGTTAGCGCACTGCGCTACGAACCTGGCGACCCGAGTTCGATTCCCGCTCACGGCCAACACCGGTGACTGTTATCCGAACCACTCCTCGGTCACCTCACTCGGCATCAAATGAGTACAGTGAGGGAAAAAAGTATTCCCCTGCTGATTTTGTACGTTTGCCCACTGACAAAGAAATGATCAATCTATAATTTTATGGTAGGTTATTTGAACAGTGATAGACATAATAACAAAAAAATCCAGAAAAACGCATGTCAAAAATGTTATAAATTGATTTGCATTTTAATGAGGGAAATAAGTATTTAAGCCCTCTGCAAAACATGACTGAGTACTTGGTGGCAAAACCCTTGCTGGCAATCACAGAGGTCAGATGTTTCTTATAGTTGGCCACCAGGTTTGCACACATCTCAGGAGGGATTTTCTCCCACTCCTCTTTGCAGATTTTCCCCAAGTCATTAAGGTTTCGAGGCTGACATTTGGCAACTCGAACCTTCAGCTCCCTCCACAGATTTTCTATGGGATTAAGGTCTGGAGACTGGCTAGGCCACTCCAGGACCTTAATGGGCTTTTTCTTGAGCCATTTCTTTGTTGCCTTGGCCGTGTGTTTTGGGTCATTGTCATGCTGGAATACCCATTCAAGACCCATTTTCAATGTCCTGGCTGAGGGAAGGAGGTTCTCACCCAAGATTTTACAGTACATGGCCCCGTCCATCGTCCCTTTGATGCAGTGAAGTTGTCCTGTCCCCTTAGCAGAAAAACACCCCCAAAGCATAATGTTTCCACCTCCATGTTTGACGATGGGGATGGTGTTCTTGGGGTCATAGGCAGCATTCCTCCTCCTCCAAACACGGCGAGTTGAGTTGATGCCAAAGAGCTCTATTTTGGTCTCATCTGACCACAACACTTACACCCAGTTGTCCTCTGAATCATTAAGATGTTAATTGGCAAACTTCAGACGGGCATGTATATGTGCTTTCTTGAGCAGGGGGACCTTGCGGGCGCTGCAGGATTTCAATCCTTCACGGTGTAGTGTTACCAATTGTTTTCTTGGTGACTATGGTCCCAGCTGCCTTGAGATCAGTGACAAGATCTTCCCGTTCTCATGATCATTGCAACTCCACGAGGTGAGATCTTGCATGGAGCCCCAAGTCGAGGGAGATTGACAGTTCTTTTGTGCTTCTTCCATTTGCGAATAATCGCACCAACTGTGGTCACATTCTCACCAAGCTGCTTGGCAATGGTCTTGTAGCCCATTCCAGCCTTGTGTAGGTCTACAATCTTGTCCCTAACATCCTTGGAGAGCTCTTTGGTCTTGGCCATGGTGGAGAGTTTGGAATCTGATTGATTACTTCTGTGGACAGGTGCCTTATATACAGGTAACAAGCTGAGATTAGGAGCACTCCCTTTAAGAGTGTGCTCCTAATCTCAGCTCGTTACCTGTATCAAAGACACCTGGGAGCCAGAAATCTTTGCTTGAGAGGGGGTCAAATACTTATTTCCCTCATTAAAATGCAAATCAATTTATAACATTTTTGACATGCGTTTTTCTGGATTTTTGTTGTTGTTACTCTGTCTCTCCCTGTTCAAATAAACCTACCATTAAAATTATAGACTGATCATTTCTTTGTCAGTGGGCAAACGTACAAAATCAGCCGGGGATCAAATACTTTTTCCCTCACTGTACATTGCGCGGCGAGTAAACATCGCCATTAGGGATACAAAGGCGGCCGGGCGTGGTGTTGGCCACCTACCCCCTCGTGTGCCGTGCCGGTCAGGCTGTACGGGGGATCTTTGAATGTGTGATTGCGAGAATCAATGCATACGTGTGATTGAATTTGTGCAAGAATAAGTGTGTAAATGAGCGTGAAAGTGAATATGTATGATTGAATTATAGAGTTGGTGTGGAATTTAGGTTGGCAATTATACACACTCAATGTCACAATCACGTTTACACTCAGACGCTCACATTCACTCACGTTCTTAAGCAACTCACTTCCACACTCAATATTTCACGCTTACACTCATTCTTTGACACGCACTTATACACCTCCAGACACACACGTGAAATAGCTCGTAAAAAAATGGTTGGAGTCTCTTAGAGACATCAAATTCATGCGAACTCACAATCACTACGTTCATACCCCACACTTCAACGAATCGACGAACAGTGCACACGTGTATATTATTGCACACGCGCAAAATCGCAGACACGAGCACACACACGACCCACACACGGTTAGACTTCCACACATCTACACTTGCACACTCTCACACACACACACAGTTGCACACTCTCACACAGATGGACACTCTCACACACACACACAGATGGACACTCACACACACACACAGATGGACACTCTCACACACACACACAGATGGACACACACACACAGATGGACACACACACACAGATGGACAGTCACACACACCGATGGACACTCACACACACACACCGATGGACACTCACACACACACCGATGGACACTCACACACACACCGATGGACTCCCACACAGTTGCACGCTCACATACACAGTTGCACGCTCACACAGATGGACACACACAGATGAACACACACAGATGAACACACACAGATGGATACACATTCAGTTGCACTCGCACACACTTGCACACTCGCACACACTTGCACTCACACACACTTGCACACTCGCAAACAGTTACACACACACACTTGCACACTCGCACACTTGCACACTCACTTGCACACTCACACACACTTGTACAGGCGTGGCACTGCCATCTCGGGTTTCTGAGAAGCAGCTGCTACAGCCCTTTACTCGGTGTCTAACTCAGCTGCACAAACATCACGGGCTACTTCTGCTGCTCCTAACGTGTACACGCACACGCATGTACACGGATTAGGGTTGTACACAGATTCGGGTTGTACACGGATTAGGGTTGTACACGGGTTTGGGTTGTACACGGGTTTGGGTTGTACACGGATTAGTGTTGTACAGGGGGTGGGGTGTACAGGGGGTGGGGTGTACAGGGGGTGGGGTGTACACGGATTAGGGTTGTACACGGATTAGCGTTGTACACGGGTTAGGGTTGTACAGGGGGTAGGGTGTACACGGATTAGCTGTACACGGGTTAGGGTTGTACACGAATTATGGTTGTACAGAGGGCGGGTTGTACACGGGTTTGGGTTGTACACGGGTTACGGTTGTACACGGCTAAGTGTTGTACACGGGTTAGTGTTGTACACGGGTTAGTGTTGTACAGAGGGTGGGTTGTACACGGGTTAGTGTTGTACACGGGTTAGTGTTGTACACGGATTAGGGTTGTACACGGATTAGGGTTGTACACGGGTTAGTGTTGTACACGGGTTAGTGTTGTACAGAGGGTGGGTTGTACACGGGTTAGTGTTGTACACGGGTTAGTGTTGTACACGGGTTAGTGTTGTACACGGGTTAGTGTTGTACACGGGTTGGTGTTGTACACGGGTTAGTGTTGTACACGGGTTAGTGTTGTACAGAGGGTGGGTTGTACACGGGTTAGTGTTGTACACGGGTTAGTGTTGTACACGGGTTAGTGTTGTACACGGGTTGGTGTTGTACACGGGTTAGTGTTGTACACGGGTTAGTGTTGTACAGAGGGTGGGTTGTACACGGGTTAGTGTTGTACACGGGTTAGTGTTGTACACGGGTTAGGGTTGTACACGGGTTAGTGTTGTACACGGGTTAGTGTTGTACAGAGGGTGGGTTGTACACGGGTTAGTGTTGTACAGAGGGTGGGTTGTACACGGGTTAGTGTTGTACACGGGTTAGTGTTGTACACGGATTAGTGTTGTACAGAGGGTGGGTTGTACACGGGTTAGTGTTGTACACGGGTTAGTGTTGTACACAGGGCGGGTTGTACACGGATATAAGGGTTGTTACACGCATCATGGCTGTACTGTACACAGATTATTCGCATTATGGTTGTACTGTACACAGATTATTCGCATTATGGTTGTACTGTACACAGATTATTCGTGTCTCGCACGCGCACCACGATGGGTGTAAACGCGCGGGGTCGAGTCTTCTACTCACCAACGAAAATCGGCGTCGACCTCGCGAATGACAAGGAGGAACAAAAAAATAAACCACACCAATTAAGCAAGTGTGACCGCGCGTCAATGCAACACGCAGAGCGGGTGGCAACGTGCCGTGGAGTGGGCAGGACGTGGGCGTGGACGGGGTCTCGTTGAGGGGGGAAATCCTCGCCGGCGAGCAATTTGACGGCGTGCGAAGGTAAAAGTGGATGGAGGGGTGGGCGAGGTTGAGGCCGCGGTTTGAAAGAGAAGGCAAAGGGACGGGTGGCAGCGAGCGATCGAGTTGGGGCGAGACGTGAGGGTGCTGGTGGTGGTGGCGGAAGGCGAAGAAAAGCCACAGCGAAGACGCGAGCTGAACCCGCCAAACCAACTGCGCGCGCCGATTGGTCAGCGACGGCCACGTGGTGCGGCAATCATAGGTGGGGGGCGGGTGGGGGTACGGGCGAGGCGGTGGGCGGGGCGAGGGGCGAGGCGGTGGGCGGGGCGGGGGGCGGGGCGAGGGGCGGGGCGGGCGGAAGTCTCAATAATTAAAATCTTAGGAGGGTGATTTTTTTTGTTATTCTTCATTAAACCTGTGGCCTTAAAATAATATTTTAAAAATATGTATGTACATTTAGGTCCGCATTGTTTTGCACGGGGGGTTTATTTATTTATTTAGTTTTGAGGTCGGCGGGGGGTGCGGTCGGGGGGCGGAAGTCTAAAGAGCGAAAATCTTGGGGGGGGAGGTGAATTTTTTTTTATTCGTCATTAAAACTGTGGCCTTTAAATAATGTTTGTAAAACGTATATACATGTACATTCAGGTCCGTATTCTATTTCACGTCAATAATTTGTTTATTTATTTAGTTTTGAAGTCGGCGGCGAGGGGGGCGGGGTGTTTAACTCTCGTGACGTCACGTAGTCGCGCAGGATTGGCTGATTCGGGCACGTGCACAGCGGGTAGGCGTGACTGAACCGTGTGACCCTAATCGATTCTAGACCGATTCATCAACGATTCGATTCCAATTGTCGCCTGCTCATCCCTTTCGCATTCGATCTGTTTAACAAACAGATTTTTTTGTGTTCATCCTTATGGGAATCCGATGAGCTGTGAAGCTCTTATTCACTGACGTCCAGTTAAGGGATGGGGGCGGATCAGAATGTTGGCCTGCCATACGCAAAGAACGAGAAACCGGTTTTTAACCGGGTGGCAACTCTTGGTACCAGGAGGTTCATCTCGTTTGCAAGAGTGACCCGTTTTCACCAATGTGACAAAAACAGAGGGGCCGTCCATAAATGACGTCACGCACCTAGGGAGAGGGGTCAGACATTTGTGACGATGTGTGACGAGGGGAGGGGGGGGGTGAAAAATGTGACGTCACATCAAAATGCGCAACTTTAAATAAATATAGACACACGTTCTACTTAAATATACTTTTGAATAAATGTTTTCTCCTACAACATCAGAGTGCAGCGCCACATTAAATACGCACTACAATGACAATAGTTTGAAGCATGTTATATTTGGGGGGGGGGGGCAGAGCTTTGTGACGTCATATTTGAGAGGGGGGGGGGTCTGACTTTTTGTGACGCCGTGTGACCGAGGAGGGGGGGTAAAAAATCGTCCAAAATTAAGCTACAAAAACATGAAACATATGTGGGGTGACTGGTATTAATATGTAAACAGACAAAGGTACGTGTGTCAAATGAGATTTGAAAACTCTAAAAAAGCACTGCATCCCTCCGCAATAGAGGCTGGCCCCCCACAGAGCTGGACAGCACAGAACTACTTCTGAGCTCCTGTTTGCTTGCCGTTTGTTAATAAGTCGGGTCGCCACGGTGGCTAGGAGATGTTAATACCATCGCCTGGTGTCCAGGAGGTCGTGGGTTCGATGCAGACCCTAACGCCTGTTGCTGTATATGTGGAGTTTGCGTGTCTCTCCCTCTCTCATCATCATCACGATGGCTAGGAGATGTTGACACTCTCGCCTGGTCTACAGGAGGTCGTGGGTTCGATCCCGACCCTGACGCCTGCTGTGTATTTGGAGTTTGCGTGTCTCTCTCTCATAATCATCACGGTGGCTATGAGATGTTGACTACCTCGCCTGGTATACAGGAGGTCGTGGGTTCGATCCCGACCCTAACGCCTGCTGCTGTATAATTGGAGTTTGCGTGTGTCTCTTTCTCTCTCATCATCATCACGGTGGCTAGGAGATGTTAACTACCTCGCCTGGTATACAGGAGGTCGTGGGTTCGATCCCGACCCTGACGCCTGCTGTATATTTGGAGTTTGCGGTGTCTCTCTCCCATCATCATCACGGTGGCTATGAGATGTTAACTACCTCGCCTGGCCTACAGGAGGTCGTGGGTTCGATCCCGACCCTGACGTCTGCTGCTGCTGTATATTTGGAGTTTGCTTGTCTCCCTTCCCGTGGTCGTGTGGATTTTTTCTCCGGGTCCTCCGGTTTTGTCCCTGCATATTTACAATCAACATGCGTTTACAGTATTTGGGCTGATATACATTTCAACATGATAAGCCACTTTGTTGAGCTATCATTACTGGCAAGGTCGCTTCTGAAAAAGTCGGCACCGCATGGCATTCAGAACACGGTCTCAAGGAACCTTTGTTCAGTCAAGTTGGGCAGTACCACCTGGTGAGGAAGACGTTTCCATTACGCCCCCACCACCACCACCGCCTCTTGAACGAGGCTCAGTTGGAGCTGCAAACTTTTCCACCGTCGAACCAAACTCCAGAGATTTCTCAGTGAAGTCCTAAGTTCCGTCAAAATTTGTGCAACAATATTAATAATACAAATAGTTTGGGTTAGAACGCGGGAATGCAATTGTGTCGTTAAGCCCGCCACCGCCCGCCCGCCCGCCCGACACAGCCAATGAGTAAGGTTTGTCACGTGAACAAAAACGTTCCAAATGAGTTACTACTTCAGCACTGGCCGCTGTTTAAATGTGGGCAAAGCAGCAGCAGCAGCAACAACACAGTCCCAGACCACACCAAGATAACACCACACACTAGTCGCTAAATCAAATGGCACATCAACATTGATGTGATTCTCATCAGGACCCACATTGATTCAAACCAGTGCGATCTCCAACTCGTATTACACACTGTCTCTCCACTCGCGCCTCTATTTACGTGCTATGAAGCAGGGGCGTTGCCCGAAACGTTGCCTATTAAATGTATGTTTTTTTCCCCTTTTAAGGCCACACACGCACATACACACACGCGCGCGCGCAGTGTTATTGATTGCGGAACGTACTTGAGTTTATTTTTAGCCGTGAAACATATTTGCGATCGAGAGATGAATTGCTCACATGGAATCATTGTTCGCATTGGCTACCCTTGGAAGGGAGCGATAGCACGTTATTCTGCTGCCAAGGGGTTGGCTCAAAGGTTGTGAAGAGAGGCCCCCGTTGCTGGTTATGCAATAGAGCATTCATAACATTGACCAGATAATTCAATTATCCCAGCGATACTCGTGAAACATTGCCAATTCGTGCAAGCGTGACCTGGGTCACATTTAAATAGAGTACGCAGACAATAACCTCCTTCCAACCTCTCACGACACAGAACCTGGCCATATCATTGCACGGTCTAAGAGGTCGTGCATAAATGACGTCACGCACCTCGGGAGGGGGGGGGGGTGAGACATTTGTGACGATATGTGACGTCACATCAAAATGCGCAACTTTAAATAAATAAAGACAACACGTTCTACTTAATTAAATAGACTTTTAAATACATGTTTTCTCCTGCAACATCAGAGTGCAGCGCACATTAAATACGCACTACAATGACAATAGTTTAAAGCGATTTGAAGCATGTTTATGTTTTTTTTGGGGGGGCACAGCATTGTGACGTCATATTTGAGGGGGGGGTCTGACTTTTTTGTGACGCCGTGTGACGAAGGGGGGGGGGGGGTCAAAAATCGTCCAAAATCGCGTGACGTCATTTATGGACGGCCCCGAAACCGTTTGGGTAGACAGCTGTAATTGTAAAGCATTATGTAAAGTTGATGGAGCATGTGTTTTACATTTATGATGTCTAATGGATAACCTTCCAAGCTGCAGTTTTGTGGGCTTTTAGATTGTAAACATTTTAATAAAAATGTTTTTAAAGATGTCTGCGTGACCTCGTGACCCCCGTGATCGCACGGGCTGCCCCCCTGAACGTTGCTGTTGCCATGCGGTGGACTCAAGAGTCGGGCACGTGACCGCTGCGACCAATCACGCAGGGTGGTATGGGAGGGGCGGGGTCTGAGGGGCGGGGTCTGGGAGGGAAAGGGCGGGGTTTGGAGGGCGGAGGGGCGGGGTCTGGGTGGAAAGGGGCGGGGTCTGGGTGGAAAGGGGCGGGGTCTGGGCACTCCATGTGATAACCGAGATCAGTAGGGGAGGAGACACTGAGACAGCGCACCCGCCTGAGTGTCCGTGAGTATCTGCACGTGTCCCTGTGTCTCTGTGAGCGAGTCTGTGTCTCTGTGAGCGCGTCTGTGTCTCTGTGAGGGAGTCTGTGTCTCTGTGAGGGAGTCTGTGTCTCTGTGAGCGAGTCTGTGTCTCTGTGAGCGAGTCTGTGTCTCTGTGAGGGAGTCTGTGTCTCTGTGAGGGAGTCTGTGTCTCTGTGAGCGAGTCTGTGTCTCTTTGAGCGAGTCTGTGTTCTCTGTGAGGGAGTCTGTGTCTCTGTGAGCGAGTCTGTGTCTCTGTGAGGGAGTCTGTGTCTCTGTGAGCGAGTCTGTGTCTCTGTGAGAAGTCTGTGTCTCTGTGAGGGAGTCTGTGTCTCTTTGAGCGAGTCTGTGTCTCTGTGAGGGAGTCTGTGTCTCTGTGAGGGAGTCTGTGTCTCTGTGAGGGAGTCTGTGTCTCTGTGAGGGAGTCTGTGTCTCTGTGAGGGAGTCTGTGGCTCTGTGAGGGAGTCTGTGTCTTTGTGAGGGAGTCTGTGTCTCTGTGAGGAAGTCTGTGTCTCTGTGAGCGAGTCTGTGTCTCTGTGAGGGAGTCTGTGTCTCTGTGAGGGAGTCTGTGTCTCTGTGAGCGAGTCTGTGTCTCTTTGAGCGAGTCTGTGTTCTCTGTGAGGGAGTCTGTGTCTCTGTGAGCGAGTCTGTGTCTCTGTGAGGGAGTCTGTGTCTCTGTGAGCGAGTCTGTGTCTCTGTGAGAAGTCTGTGTCTCTGTGAGGGAGTCTGTGTTTCTTTGAGCGAGTCTGTGTCTCTGTGAGGGAGTCTGTGTCTCTGTGAGGGAGTCTGTGTCTCTGTGAGGGAGTCTGTGACTCTGTGAGGGAGTCTGTGTCTCTGTGAGGGAGTCTGTGTCTCTGAGGGAGTCTGTCTCTCTGTGAGCGAGGCTGTGTCTTTGTGAGCGAGTCTGAGTCTCTGTGAGCGAGTCTGTGTCTCTGTGAGGGAGTCTGTGTCTCTGTGA